TACAGATGAGGAAACTGAGGTACAGAATGGCTAAGTGATTGACCCCAATGCCCAGATCCAGTGGGCAAGAAAGCTGAGATGTATTTAATTAGTTTGACCACTCCTGTATTCATCTCGAAGTGAATCTCCATCACCCTCGAATTTCCAACTTATTTCAGAATCCAAACTACTCTCCTAAATACCAGAGAATAACCTTTCCCTTATTCTAGGGATGAGGTCTAAATCATTCAGAACAATGTCCTACTTCTCCCTCCTAATTCATTTATTTTAATCTCCATCCTTCCTCTCTTCCTCACCCTGTCTCTGAAGTCCTTTCTTTCCGTTTATTCCCTCCTGCTCTCTCTCTCACATCTTCATCAAGTACTTTCTCAACCTCTCCTGTTTCAAATTAAACATCCTACTCTCCCCTTTTTTCACCTTCAAAAATCTGCATCTTCCTCTCTCCAAATATCTTCTTGGATGCTACATCCAATTCTACTATCACTTCTGTCTCCTTATATCATCAAATTCTCAAAAAAGTGGCATCTTTATGTCCTCTTCTGCTCCATCTTATTCCCCAGTCCCTTGCAGTCAGGAAGGGCTAAGTCCATCCAACTGAAAGCATTCTCCTGTAGGTCACAGAAAACCTCAGGATTTCTTCAGAATTCACATTGCTCTGCTTTTCTTTATATCATCCAATACCAGCTTACACCATATGTCTTTCAATTCTCTTTCCCTCTCACATCTGTGATGTTGCATTTTATTGTTCTCTTATTTCTTTGGCCACTTCTTTTCTATCTCTTTCTTTGTTTCTTGTTCGCTGTCATTGTTTCTAGTTATATAAATGTAGGAATTCCCCTAGTTTCATCCTTAGCCACAGGGTATTTCTTTCCTGTATTCTCTACTTTAGGGATTTCAAATTCTCCCATAATTTCAACTCTCCTATCCGAGCAGATTTCCCACAGATGTATGTATCAGACCTCAACTATATTGTTCATGGTGCTGATACAGTTTTCAAATTGCTGAACGTCTTCACCAGTCATTTCTCTGGCATCTTAAACTCGATGTGTTTCAACCTGCTGAGTTCTGCGTCTGCCTTGCTCCTGATCTCCTAGCTTAAAACTGCCATCACCTGATACTCTTTCTCTCTTCACTCCCACCTCCCATTTGTTCTCAAGCCCTGTCCATTTCAACTGCATAGTGTCTCTCCCTTGATCTTTCCCAGTCTGTTCTCGTTGCCAGTGTTCCAGGTTATCTCCTTCTCATCCCTGGACTGCCTTGATGCAGAAAATTCAACTGCTCATGGCCTGTGATCACTGCCTTTCCCACCACTCCCATCACTGTTGTCAGAGTCATCTTTTAAATTCACAATTTTATCATGCCTTTCCCATAATCAACAAACTTCAATATTTCTCTACTGCACACAAGGATTTAGTGTTAGAATTGGAAAGGTAACTATATAATTTAGCCAATTCCTGCCATTTGATGAATGAGAACACTAAAGCTCAGAGAATTTAGGAAGTACCTTGCAAGTTTTCTGACCCTACCAAGTGCTCTTTATATCTCATTATTTTGTCTTTGAAAGTCAAAGAGTGACTTCGTTTCAGAGTTTATTAGAGACTTTGAGCAAAAGACAATATTGTTAGGTCAACACAACATATTTTTAAGCAGGCTTGACAGTTTTTTAATTACTATTCCAATTGAGAGCCTGACACTATAGTGAAACCTACTTGGTCTTCTGCCTAAGTTGCCTCTCATGGGAAAAAGAATGACCCAGCTTCATAAAGTTGGAAGGTTAGTCATTGGGCATAGTTCTCCAAAACAAACAGCAGGCACTGACACTTCAGTGTGGTAAGGGAAGTGCAAGACAGCTAACACATGAACACATGATTCTGTAGCTATGAAGAAATGGCTTCCAAACAGACAAATAAGGTATCCCCACACCCACAGATGAGAGGAATAAGTGCTCATGAGTGCACAGGTAGCAAGAAGTACACATCTGCATTAATCATCATTTCAGTTCTGTACCCAAGAGGGACTCTACAGTAATATTCCAGTTACTTGTCCACACCATTTGGGCCATTTACTTTGCTTTCCTCTCCACCTTTACTATTATTCTTGTTGTTATTATTATTTATAGGCATTCCTAATCACAAGGATAATATAAGATTAGATGAACATCAAAATTTTTTGAATTCTCAAAGCTGTAATGTCAGTTCTTTGTAGTATATTTTACTTCATAATGAACTTAAAATAGAATATCTTGTACTTTATTGAAAAACCCACACCTCAAGCACAGATTTAGGCTGAATTGTATTGGATTGTATTTAGCCATAAATTAATATCCAAACCTCAACTTCTTCTTCTACAAAATGAAGATAATTATAATATTGACCACAGGTGCTTGTGAAAATTGAATCCATGAGTTTCTCTAAACCTATTGTCTAGTACTTAGTTATCATTCAGTGAATTGTAATGATGATAATGATAATGATTAACATTAAATATATACCGTGAGTATATAACTCCTATAATAAAAATATTATCTCTTTAAACTACTCATATTAACCATAAATACATATTTTCATGAATTATCAATTATAGCAATTTTTTAAAAATGTGTACTTGGACATTGAAATTATATTTTCAATTTAATGGTGAAATTAAAACTATAAAAAGTAATTTACTATATTTTGAAATTACTAACATTCATATTTTTTAAAGCACAGGCTATATTTTTCTTTTATCAGTAATACAGATAAAGCCTAACTGGACAACAGCTTTCATACTTCACAATTCAGAAAACAATTCAAATAGAAGTTAAAAATTTCTTATTTAGGGAGAAATAACTAAATATTTACACCATATTTAATTAATTCTAAAATGTAAAACTTAATATATTCAACTAGGCTTCAAACCCACACCTAATTTTTTAGGTAGATATTTTATGTTTTGAGTAGACTGATATATTAAACTTAACACATAAGTATCTGTGTTTTTGAAATGCCTTTGGTTTTTAGAGAAAAATAAGTTACATTATGCTGATATTACAGTAAAATCATATTTAAAGATCAAGGCCAGAGCTGAAACAAAGCAAAGCTCTTGTTGGCTAGCTCACTTACTGAATGCAGGAGAAAGACTAATGGAAGTTGCTTACCCAGCAATTCGTCCCTACACTCCTGCAATTTCTATAAATGAAGGATGCATTTATAGCATCTATTTAATTTAGTTCTAACAATAAAACATCAACCATGAGCTCATTTTGACATAGAGAAAATTATTTGCTTTTATTTTGGAACTTTTTATTCTCATATTTCTAAACAGGTGAAAAAAATTATCATCTTAAGATTTTCAAGAATACTAGAAAATCATCCATTTAGAATTGGAATGTGAAGAAGCAAATATTTTGAAGCTCTCTGGGTACTATCTGTTTCATATCCTTTCTTCACTCCAAAGCATTTTTTTTT